GTGCAGGGAGCCGGGAGGAGAAGCCGCCGCCGGCCCTGCCCTTCTGCCCGCGGCACGGCTGCCCAGGCTCACCCCAGGCCACCCCAGGATGGCCACAGAACCTCGGCACCCCTGGGAAAACTGCACTTCTGCTGTTCTGATTTTCTTCTAAAATGTGTCATCGCAGCGGTGTTACCAACCTCTGACTGGGCCGGCAGCATGGGCATCTTCAGAGCCATCAGAGATTGGTTCTGTCAGATGTGGTGGAAACTTCCAGCAGCTTCTCACAGAAGCCACCTCAGTGGCCCTCCCTGCTACCAAAAACCAGGCTGTGCCAAATCAACACACTGGTCAAGCAGAAAATCACCTGGAGAAGGGAGTGTGAGCCCTAAGCAGCAAAGTGACTCTCCTGGTGAACAAATGGAAATCAGGTGCAGCCAAGGGCTGAAGTGCAGGAAAAACTGGGATGAGGCTGAGTGAAAAGCTGTGGCTGTAACTCTGTGACAGTATTTCTCAAATGTAAGCACAGGCCTGGTTTTCTGGCAGTCCCAGGGAACTTCGTTTTTAAGCATGTCTTCATGCTGTGCAGAGGGAAGGACAGTCTAGAAAAGCTGCACTAGAAATGCTGCAAATACCTTTCCCTATTTTGTGGGAAAGGACAGGGAAGAATGACTAAATAACTTAATTAGAGAATGCTCTGACCTGTGCAACATCCCAAAGCCATGTCTTGTAACACAAACACGAGGATGAAAGAGGACCCTCAAAAATACAACAGTGAAGCAGAATAAATGAGAACAGTCTTCAGCCACTGTGCCGGTGGACTGAATGAAACTTGGTCCCAATGTCCTTGGGACTTAAATTGCCCTCGCAGTGACAGCCTTGCCTGGTGACCTGTGCAGGATCAAGGAGGGAAAGTGGGACAAGCTAAAGAAACCTCAGTCTGCCTCTCTGCCCCTTGGTCCTTAGACCAGCAGCCCCTGCTCTGCTGAGACCCTTTTTATTTCCCTGCTATGCCATGAGGTACCAGCACAAAATCTCCCGTGTATTTTCTTTCTTTGACCAATTTCATCCACCCTGAAACAAGCATGTGTGGAAGTCTCTGTCTTGAGCTACTCAGGGCTGTTGCTGGTCCTGTGAGGCCACCATCTGCCCCCAGCTCTGTTCTTTTTGACATCTTCATTGCAAGGAAACCAGCTGTGAGGAGGGGCCAGTGCCCCTGGCCCAGGATGCCAACCTGGCAGCAGACAGCTCTGGCTGGGCAGCTGGTGTGGTGCCAGGCTTAGGAGCTGTGGGCAGGAGCCAGCCCCCCCAGCCCCTCAGATGGTGGGCTGTGAATAGGAGGGTAGGGGGGCTAGTGAGGAATCAAAGGGAAGTGTCCTACTGATTGATGGCCTCATTTGCACATGAAACTGGGACCTCTCAGCCCTGCAGGCCCTGCAGATGTGTCTCAGCTGCTGTAACCAGGGCTGGGAGAAGATAAGCAAAGAGGGAATAACTTGCTTCCAGCTCAGAACACCATAATGGTTTTCATCTAAGTGTCCTAGGACTGAATCTTCATGGCCTTTACATTTCCTAAGTGTTGGTTGTTATTTTTTTGTTTTTCTTTTTCAATTGCAGGTGAGACAGAGCACCCATGGTTATGGAAACTTCTTCCACCTTCTCCTCTTTCCTTTTCCTGTGCGTGCTGCTTCTTTCTGACATCAGTCTTGCAGTCTCCCTGAACCCTGGCACAAAGCTCAAAAATGCCCCAGAGAACAACAACCACCTTCAAAACCAAGAGTTGTGGCTGCAGCAGCCCAGAACTGGGCGCCATCACAGGCAAGGCTCGGCCAAGAAGGAGAGGGTCCATGCCATGCCTTCAAGAGGGCAGCTGGCTGGGGAAGAGACCCTCAAGATGGGCAGTGGAGCTTCAGCTGTGGAAGAGCTGGTGGCAGAGGGCCAGCCAGCAGCCCTGAAACAGAATAAGGATGTGTTCCTGGGGTTTGAATTGTTGTATCCTGAGAGAGAAAACCAGTCCCCGGGCTCTGAGAAAGGAAAGAAGCAGAACCGAGAGCAGCGTCGACACAGCCGCAGGGACAGGCTCAAACACCACCGAGGTAATTGAGCTCCAAGGGAAGCTGGGGCTGTTGTGTCACTGGAAATGAGCATCTCTTGTGTGAGGGCAAGAAGACGCAGCTGTGGTGGAGCCACATGGGTGTGTGGAGGGTGTGGAGTGTGTGCCTGCTCTGGGGAGAAATCTGCCAAACAAAAGAGGCACGAGAAAAAAGGGGAACTGCAGTACCAGAAAATTTTAGTGCTGGCTGCAATTTTGTGAAAATGACCTGGTTTGTCTTACAGGGGGAACTCTGAGAGTCCTTAAGACTTGAGGGGCTGTTTTAGGGTGGCCTGCTTTGTTGTTTTTTTTTTTCCTTTTTAGTAAACGGCCCAATTTAGGAACAAGTATGTCCAAGCCATGCTCAGTCTCTCCATAACTTCAGAAAATGATGAGAATCAGAAAAAACACAACCCCCACCTTTTGCTTTGAAGACCAGTTTCTTCTCACCAGAGCTTCTATACTTCTATGTTTATGCTGAACAACAACAACAACAACAAAAAATTCAGATTTTGCATATGTGAAATTGCACTGATAACTTTAAAATGTTGCTTGGTTTTGATTTGGGCTGCTTTCCTTTGCAGGTCAAGTTGTGGGTGTGTGTCTCTGTGGTATGAGCTCAGTGTGGTAAACCTTGAGTTCTGTTAAAGGGAGGCAATCTGTGTCAATCTACACTATGTAACAAGCTGGGTGTCACGTCCTTGAGTTCCATCTATCACTCCTTCCTGCCTCAGTAAGAAGAGCTCTATTGTTTTTTCAGGGGACCGACTAAACAGCTTGTGTTAGTAATATAGAAGAGTATGCAACAAAGCTGGTTTGAAGAAATATTTGCAGACTAAAAACAGGGCTCATTTCTTGAGGTTAACTTAAGGTCTATATTTAAATTAATACTTATGAAGAAGAGGGATGTATCTGTGAAGATAATTTCAAGTTAGGTAAGTCCTGATTTGAGCTAAATTGAAATAACTCACTACTAAAATCAAATAAGAACGCATTCACAGGTATTTGCAACAGCTTAATCCAATGCTTTAAAAATGGTTAAACAGGTACATTTTTTACTCTAGAGACCAGAAAAAGACATGTTTTGCTTCTTAAACAAGGCATAGACATATCTTCAGGAAGGTGTGATTATGTATGTCTTAAGCATGCAAAAACCAAACTGCATATATTCTGGACCTGATTTATCACTGTAATAGCTCATTACTCTGTTTTACAGTGGTCTAAGCAGTGGCTCAGGGTCATGGAGCAGTGGTCAGTGACTGGATGAAACATGAATTCCTTTGACTCAAATCTGTCACATGGAGAAAAGGGGTGAGAAAGGTAATGCCACTGTACCTGTTGTCCTCTGCAGGGAAGAATCCTGATGCTGGGCCAAGCTCCCTGTACAAGAGACCCAAAAGCTTTGAAGAACAGTTTCAAAATCTTCAGGCAGAGGAAGCTACAAGACTGACTCCCACCATGCTCCTCACTGCTGCACTGGACACAGCTGTTTCCACAGAAGAGCCTCCTGTTCTTCCAGCCACTTCACCACGGTCACAGGTAAAGAGACAGCTGGCAACTGTTCTGTACCTCCAAGCTTTGCCTCTCCCTCCACTATCCAACTTCACTGAGTTTCAAGGACCAGAGAGACAGTAAGAGCCCTTGGCTGAAGAGCCAGCATGTCCTAATGCTCATTGCTCACCTTTTGTTCTCACACAGAAGAAGTGGAAACTTCTTTCTTGGCTTCAGCCTCAACAAGGGACAGCTCTTCACTTTTGAAATCCAGATGCCAGGAATCGCCAGTGGATAAGACAGGAGGGGAGGGGGGATCATAAAACCTTTTTAAAGTGTAAAAGCACCATGAAAATTTCCAAAGACTTCAATGTCTCTACAGAAGTGTAATTCATTGTCTGTCTGGCTTTTTTTGTGGTTTGCAGGCCCGTCACAGGCAAGATGGGGATGTAATGCCCACCTTGGATATGGCACTCTTTGACTGGACCGATTATGAGGATCTCAAACCAGAAATGTGGCCATCTGCTAAAAAGAAAGGTGCTAAACCTCCCTGTCCTCTTTCCCAAAAGTCATCCTGTAAGGCTTGTCTACGGTTAGTATTCATAGATATGCTGAAGGACATGAGATCATAGTGGTGGGGAAAGAGAGAAGCAGCATAATGCCAATTGAGTTTCATGCTCAGCTTCAGAATGTTTCTCATTTTGGATGCATATTTGGAGGGCAGAGGAAAAATGATAAATGGAGAGTTGAGAAGTAAGGAGGAGATTAGACTATGAAGATTTAGACTTCAAACTTGAAATTTGAGGCTGTTTTTACCCTGGACCAATATATTCTCCAAAATGAAAACACTAGTGTGAAATTTTCTATCAGCACCTTTTTTTCTTTTTTTTTTTTCCCACAGAAAAACGCCGCAGTAAGAGCCCCAACAGTGGAAATGAAACCATGACAACTGAAGGAGAGCCATGTGATCACCACCTTGACTGCCTCCCAGGTCAGGATCAGTTTGGCAAAGTCATTTCTCCAAACATGAGATATTTGAAATCTAGCCCAGGTTTTAAGACATGCATCCTGATTTCTACTACTGATAAGAAGTGGTATGCAGGGGAAGGGCAGAGGGTCTCTAGGCATGTTGTGGGATGATGTCTGCATGATGGAGCTGTCATGGGTGTCAGTAGCCCTACAGGTGAGGGGATACCTGAGCTGCGCTGACCCCTGGTCCTCTGTTGCAGGCTCTTGCTGTGACTTGCGTGAACACCTCTGCAAACCACACAATCGAGGCCTTAACAACAAGTGTTATGATGACTGTATGTGCACTGAAGGTAAGGCCAGCTCTTTGCTCCCTGTCTTGGTTTAAAGGACAGGTGTCTGCCAAGGAAGGCGGGAACCTCCCTTGGAATGGAAAATATGAACCACTTCCCTCTGAATTACTATAACTGAAATGACGGGGCTTTCAGGCAAAGCTAAGGGCAAGGACTAGCAGTTGTTCCCGAGTGTGTGTGTGTGCCCCAGACGAGCAGGGAGCAGCAGCACAGCCCCAGCCCCGGCCGGCTCGGGCGCGTCCCCTGGCGCAGTTCCGGGCACGGCCG